CATTTAAGCAACTTTTGGTGCTTTTGGCAGTGTGGGCAGGTGCCAAATCCTGCTGGAAAATGAAATCAGCATCTTCAAAAAGCTGGTCAGCAGAAGGAAGCATGAAGTGCTCCAAAATTTCTTGGTAAACGGGTGCAGTGACGTTGGTTTTCAAAAAACACAATGGACCAACACCAGCAGATGACATTGCACCCCAAATCATCACAGACTGTGGAAACTTAACACTGGACTTCAAGCAACTTGGGCTATGAGCTTCTCCTCCCTTCCTCCAGATTCTAGGACCTTGGTTTCCAAATTAAATACAAAACTTGCTCTCATCTGAAAAGAGGACTTTGGACCACTGTGCAACAGTCCAGTTCTTCTTCTCCTTAGCCCAGGTAAGAAATTGGATCTTTATACCCCTTTAAAGTGTAATAATGTCCGATATCTCCAAAATGCTGCAGTACTATGGTTTGATATGAGGTGTGCGTATAGTATGGGACGTCCTGAATAAGAACCAACCATTGTTTTTGTCTACTTCTTAGAAATGGGAATTTTATAACCTTCTAAAGTGTAATAATGTCCTATATCTCGAAAACGCTGCAGTAAAATGGTTTGATATGAGGTGTGCATATAGTATGGGACGTCCCTTATAAGAACCGACCATTCTTTTCTTCTACTTATTAGAAATGAGGTCTTTATAGCCTTCTAAAGTGTAATAGTATCCTTTGAAAATTATAGTAATACAGAGCAGTCAAAGACAACAATAAATTACACGAATATTAATGCAGATGGGCAAAAAAAGAATCCCAAAAAATTTCATCATATCTCAAATCTGGGCGTCTAGATGAAAAGCGCTCTGAAAGCGCGTTCCCTGTGTTCCTGCTATTACCGTAATTATAGTAATACACTAAATATAATTTCACTGGGGGATGGCTTGACCGTGTTTTTCTGAAGTGCGGCTGGCTTGACCGCAGTGTTTAACACATCCATGCAAACTCGACAGACACACCCTAAAGCGGATGTTCTGGCATCCTGGGCAGCACTAAGGGGGTGGCTGTGCCAGTGCAGAGGACGCGCGCCGTTAAACCAGGCTTTAACAGCAACGGCAGCCAAGCTTACGTCTTAATTTTCCATAGTAAGCCTAATAGTAGATCATCGGTGCTGAGCTCGCGTTGCCAAACATACATTAATCGTTCTCAAAGTTTAGAAACAGACAAACAGCTGATGAAGGTGATTAGCTGAATCTTTTACCAGAGACTGGAATTTGTTTTGGAGTCTGACAAGCAACAACGCGCAAAAGACAGAAAAACACCGAAATAGAATCAAGACAGAAATACTTCTAAATTCTCTTCTTAGTGCACAAGACCGCACGTAAGTTTTAATACCTCCTCGATTACAGTTATTTGGTAAAACTGCAGGAATGTGAAGCGAATTAGAGTAGGCTTGTTTTTTATTACAGAGCGTTGATTAGATCACTTTTGAAGATCACGGATATAACACAAGAAACCCGTTACTGCAAACGAATAGGCCTAATACATTTCTGAATGTTTTCCTCCTCCATTTTATCTGATTCATTTTAGGCTGTTTGTGATTATGCGAAATCGAAAGTTTTTTTGTTTTTTTTTGTTTTATCAGATCGTTATATCTAGACAGATGATGTAGCCTACCCCATTAAATAATGAATGTGCTCTCATGTTATTTCGTTTTTTTTGTCAAAGAAGCATGTAACAAAAATCAGCTGTGACTAAGTAGAATATTTTGGTTCACATAGTAGCCTAATTCATTATATATTCTATATAACCATAATAATTCACAGTTGGAAGGCTAGAAGTATAGGCTATTTTACAATAATAAAATAGATTGTGAACTTTAAGTACTGATCAAATGACAAAAGGACTGTAATACATCCAGGAAATTAAAGGTTTAGCAATGTGCGTAAATAATGTAAACTGCAATAGAGAAAGTAATAAATATGCATTGAGTCTTTACAGTATTTATTCCTTGCATTGCATTATATTTAGTGCCATGTGTTGTGTGAAGATGAAAGCCAGTTAATTAATCTAACAATGTATTTATTTATAATAGATTAATGAAATAGATTGTGGACATGAATGTAATTCAACAAATTAATGAAAATAGTAAATATGTTGTAAATGATAAGAAAACTGCAATACTGAAAATATGTTTTGAACACAGTGCTGACATGTTTGTTTCCAGCTGTATTCATATTTTTATGTTGTGAGGAGATGGAGGCATGTTTGTTAATCTGTTGAAATCACAATATTTGTTCTATTAAGGTTGTTTCTATTAAGGTTGTTGCTAAAAGAAAAGCCTGTTTGTTGCTAACTCAACATTATCAATTTTTCATCATTAACTATCATGTTATTCATCTCAGTAAGATATCATCATCTCCAGGTCATACTGAGAAGCTGATTGTCTTCACTGACACCAGTGCTGATGTTAGCATTGCCAGTTCAGCTGCAGTATGTCAGAGAAGCGAGAAAAGGACTCTCCGTCTGAGACGAGTCTCTCAGAGAAACAGAGGTAAGACTGAGTCTGTTTTCAGAGAATCATTTTAAACACTACTGAAGTTGAATTAATTAATAGATTTTTTGTAACAACCTTTTTAACAGTAACGGTTTTCTCACTTATTGTCTGCTGCGCTAAAGTTCAATTTAGAACTTCCTATAATTTTTTGTTTGTTTGTTTTTAAATAATTGCAGGTTAAAAATAGCTTAAAACTTATAAAGCTATTTGCATCATCAATAGCAACAGAGTATAACAGACCGATCCAGGTATTTCAAGCCAGCACTTCTTTCATGTCTCGTATTGTATTTCAAGCTGACGCTTTTTGTGTCTCTCTTATTACAGCAAGAACTCGCTCTCTCATTTCACATCTTGTCTCTCGTGACATCTTGCATCTCAGTTGTATTGAAAATGAAACAACTGGCTGGATGTCCATCAGTGTGCACATTTAGTGCATAGTAAACTTAAATAATGTTTGGCTTGACAATGGCACATGCAAAGTGCTTCCATCATGACTGTAGATGTTTTGGGACTATAAATAAATAATTAAAAAAACACACTTGACAGAGTGATGTAACAACAGTAATTACAAAAATGACAGTTGGAAAACAGCCTCAGACGTCAGGCCCACGGACTGTTGGCTGAACGTCTAATAGATATGTTTTATGGTGAAATGGATATTGTGCAGGGTGAGGAACCAGTGCTTCACTTGACTGTTTACCAGTTTAGATTCCATTGTAGCTGACCTGATCCGTTTTTGGGATGAAATCTCAGACCAAGACATAATTTGAATTAAACTAAACTCTTCAACTGAGACAGAGGAACCTTCTGTAGTAAAGTGTTGTTTCTCTCTGTTCTTTGTGTCATTAGTGTAAGATCAGGCTCAGATGTGTCCAGCTCTGTGTCTGTGAAGAGTGACTGGTCAAAAGATGAACCACCGGAATTCAGTGAGGCAACATCTACTAAAAGGTATTTTACATTAGAGCATTGCATTAGCTAATTTCTTCACTGTGGTAAATGTAATAGAACTTGGCTGAATAAATTCAATTCAATTTACTTTATTGTTAGTGTACATAGTACAACACAATTCTGTCTGGTGAGTCTCAGTCACAAACAAAAAAACTAAACAACAACAACAATGAATAGCTACCAACAATACATAACAGTTGCAACAAAAAGTGCAAATGATGTAATTAGCTGGAGGGTGTAAGTGCAAGGGGTGTAATGGAAGTCACAGCTCTGTTTGTGTGTGTTTTCATGGTCCTGTACCTCTGCCCTGAGGGCAGGGGGTCAAAAAGTCTGACCCGGGTGGGTGGAATCTCCAGCAATGTTTCTGGCCTGTATACCTTCCTTCAGATCCCTCCGGTCTCTTCTGTATGCCAGCAGGTCACCTGACCTATAGGCAACATCCCGGGCTTTAAGCAAAGACCGCACTGTACTGTCCAGCCACGGTTTCTGGTTTGGAAACATTGATGGATTTAGTGGGCAAGACAGAGTTTGTGCAGAAATGCAAATAGGCCAAGACAGACGAGGTGTATTCCTCTATATCCGCATTCTCGTTAAACACTCCCCAGTCAGTTGGTCTTGATCAGCAGATAAGAGGTCTGTATGCTGGTGTCATTTCCAGCGAGATGTGTTCTGACATGCCAAATTGTGGAGATACTGCAGCATTATATGCCCCTGGGATGTTAGTATAGACCTGATCCAGAATATTATTGTCCCTGGTCGGGAAATTTATGCACTTGAAAAACTTGTGAAATACTGCTTTCAGTTCTACATGATTGAAGTCTCCTGCTACGACCACAACTCCCTCCGGATTTGCATTTAGCGGGCTATTAGTAGTGCTGTGCAACTTCTCCAGTGCTGGCCTGACATTAGTCAGTGGTGGTATGTAAACCACTGTAATCAGAAAGGCATTTCACCGCTAGATATTCCAGATTCCAAAACAAAAGATCACAGAAATGGTGTCCGTAATCCTTTACTGAACTCAGTCTGGAGCTACGTAGGTAGACACGAAAAACACATTAGATAAATACTAGATAAAAATTCACCATTGAAAAACTCCAGGCAACCAAACATAAATACATTCATATATAGTTATGAGAAGGGCAAAATCACGGCTATACTGGATTTAATCACATGCAATCTTTTCTAATAAAACTTACGTGTCTCATGTAATTTTTTTTCTTCCTCTCTGTTCTTTGTGTCATTAGTGTAAGATCAGGCTCAGATGTGTCCAGCTCTGTGTCTGTGAAGAGTGACCATTCAAGAAATAAACCACCGGAATTCAGTGAGGCAACATCTACTAAAAGGTATTTTACATTAGAGCATTGCATTAGCTAATTTCTTCACTGTGGTAAATGTGATGGAACTTGACGGAATAAAACAATAGATCGAGTATTTTTCTTTTTTTCTGTTCTTCGTGTCATCAGTGTAAGATTAGACTCACATGTGTTCAGCTCTGTGTCTTTGTACAGTGACTGTTCGTTTTACATTGCATTGCTTTGTTAGCTAATTTCTCCACTAAGGTATATGTGATAACTTGACTGGATAAAACAGGAAATCACAGAATGAGTTGGTTTACTCTTTAGTGAGCTCAGTCTTTTCAACAATACAATTACACAGGAAGCCACCAGGGGGCATACATTCACCACGGAAAGACAGAACAGGCACCCAAACATAAATACAACTATCTATAGTAGTGAGAAATGGAAATCTACAGCTATACTGAATTTTATTTAATTCAATCTCTCCAAATGAGGCTGAAGTATTTTTTTTTCTGTGGTTTGTTAGTGAAAGATCAGGTTCACATTTTTCCAGCTCTGTGTCTGTGAAGAGTGACCGGTCACTTGATTATCCACCAAACTTAAGTGAGGAAACATCATCATCTACCAAAAGGTATTTCATGTGTTTTACATTATATTGCTCTGTTAGCTAATTTCTCAATTGTTGTTTATGTGATGCAAGCTTCTTTCCAATAATATACTTACACAGGCAGCCACTAGAGGGCTCGTGAGCATTTTCTCTGTCAGAATGAACAGTAGTTAGTTTTTATTTGTTGTACTGGATTAGTAGCTTCAATAGTGAAGAACTGCATGTACTAGAAGATATTTCATGTGTTTCTCCAAAAACATCGACAAAAATAGGTTGACAATTCAAAATCAAAATCTGGAATTCAAAATCAAATTCAAGTCTGGAAATAAACAATGTGCTGAAAAATTTAAAACAAATATTTTAATAAAAGAGAAATTCAAAACACAAGCACTTTCACAAATGGATTTAAAGTGTACATT